CTCTCTCTGCCTCTCCCCCACTTGCACTCTCTCTCTCTCTCTCTGTCAAAACTAAACAAACATTAAAAAAAGAAAGTGAATATATACATATTATCATGTCCACTGTCAATATTTCTCACATCATCCTTACTGTAAGTATATCTTGAGGAATAATATCTTGAGACTGGGAAATTAACACAAAACACTACTGTCGTCCTCATGTTAATATTTATCCTTTTCCATTTTACTTTCAGAAACAGAAATAAACTTCCTACTCAAACAAGCACTTACAATTGTTGGAACGCTACCATTTACTTATATGTTAGAAAAGTGGAGGTGGATGGTCTTTAAGGGTGAAATTCCCAAGGAGCAGTGGATGCAAAAGTGGTGGGAGATGAAGTAAGTCAATGAATATGGAATCGTAAGATGGTTTCTCATGAGTTTGCCACTTATCTAAAAGCATTTGACTGGTCTGTACACACACACACACACACACACACACACACACACACACACATACTGCCTCCTTTTTATTTTTAAATGTTTATTATTTTTGAGAGAGAGCGCACGAGTGAGTGGGGAGGGGCAGAGAGAGGGGCAGGGGGACAGAGGATCCGAAGTGGGCTCTGCGCTGACAGCAGCCAGCCCGATGAGGGGCTCAAACTCACAAAATGTGAGATTAATACCTGAGCCAAAGTTGGACGTTCAACCAACTGAGCCACCCAGGAGCCCCTACTTTTTATTTTTTAAGTCCCCATTTGGGTGCTTTCTCCTCAGATAACATTTCCTTGGTTCTGCCCTCCCCCAAGCAGGATCAGGTGACACAACTTCTCATGCTGTATCTTCTTAAGTGCTGGGTCACCCATTAAACTGTGCTATTTTAGGCAAAGCACTGGAGATCCAATGCTGATCATTTCACATGTTCTCCTTGACTTCAAAGAACTTTTTTTTACTCTATAGAGGGATGTGGAAAATGAAACCATGGCAACATGGGTGTAGGGGGATCCATGAGCATCCAAGGCAAGATCCAGAGGCCAATCTGGTGGGTCAGATGGGGAGAGGCATCCAAGTTGAGCTTTGAAAAGGAGGCGAGAGTTAACCAGGTGTATGTGGAAGGAACAGAGAGAATTCCAGGCCAGCAAGAGCCTGGCACTTTTGGGCAACAGATAGTGGTCCCTTTTCAATAGTTTTAGCACTACATTCTTCATCACTGTAGCCCAAGTCCCTTGCACAGTGCCTGGGACACACAGGTATGAGCTAATGGGTTTGGGATGAAAGAATTACAAAAGAGGACAGATGTCAAGGAAGGAAGGAAGGAAGCAAGCAAGGAAGAAGGAAGGAAGGGAAAGAGTCTTCTCCCCAGTCTCTATTAGTCAGACTCCTGTCCATTATTTTGCTTTGTTTTATTTGTCTTTAAAACAATATTTTAAAGCAATCTCTACTCCCAATGTGGGGCTCAAACTCATGACCCCAAGATCAAGAGTCAGATGCTCTACCAACTGAGCCATCCAGATGCCCCCTTATTTTTCCTTCTTGTGGTGAAGATCTACCTATATAACACCCAGTCCCATACCCGTAAGCTTCAGTCAGTGGCACTCTTCTGCCAAGATTCTCTGTGAACATAAATCCTACTTGGGAGGAAAGGAGGCAGCAGTGATAATAACTGTTTCTAGCATTTGGGTGTTACCGAAATTGTGTCTGTAATCATCCCACAATCAGAAAGGACAAATGTATTAAGATTAAATAATGCCAAACACATGGTTTCCCTACCTTTTTCCTGATTGAATTGCTTTTGATCCCTCTTAAAGGTTTATTTTGAAAGATAAATGGAACCAGAACCTTAAACTCCTTCATTATGCACTAATTACTCCACTAATTCGACAAATATACACGCACTTTTTCCTTAGCATTAGGCACCGTGTTTGACACTGGAGCCAGAATAGATAGCTGAGACAGCCCCGCGCTCTAGGAGCTCAAGTCTCTAGGGCAAGAAGGAGCTGTATGTGAATAATGATAAAACAGAGAGCGAAATGTCAAAGGAGCACAGTTAGAGAAGGCTAAGGGAGCTGGAGGGGGTTCACTGTGCTGGCAGGTGGGTGCGATCAGGAGCAGGCGTTCGAGCTAGAAGAAGAGGGGGCGTTCGAGCTAGCCTTGAAGAATAACTAAGATGTCAATTTTACAAAATTCTGTTTCCCAAGGACACATAAAATGTGGTGCCAAAGAGGGATTATTAAGACTTTCGCTGTACATTTTCGGCCATGCAATGCACTTTACTAAATTGGTGTTTTGAAGATGCAGATCTTTTCCAGTGGTATACCCTGGATGGATGGATTAAAAAAAAGGAAGAAATAGCCACATAAGGGCTTTATTCTGTAATTTTTTAGACTGTTTCTGTTTCACCCGGCAACCAATTCCAGTATAAATACTACTGGCTGCTGAAATCACACTGACTGCATCCAACTGTACCTTCTCGTGATGAGTGACCCACGGCTAATCTATCTGTTTTTTACCCCAAAGGCGAGAGATAGTCGGGGTGGTGGAGCCTGTGCCCCATGATGAAACATACTGTGACCCTGCATCTCTGTTCCATGTTGCTAATGATTACTCATTCATCAGGTAAGTGACAGTTTTCTTCTGACTGTTTAACTTCCAGGGTTTGTGGACAGCTGTGCTAATGGCAAAGAAACAGGGACCTCTGAAGTATGACTCTTTCTACCTACCTTCCCCCTAGAACCTCAAAACAGATCATCAATTTCAATTCAATTTAATGCAATATGATTTATTGGGTCCAATAAAACTTGTGTGAGATCTTTTCTCCACCATGAAGGAATTTATAGTATCCTTGGGGGAAATAAAATTATCTTTGTTTGTCTTCTTGTTGCTGGCAGTGTTCAGGGTGATTGCAATAGAGTATTTTTAATGTGAAGTCTAAAAACCTATGTTCTTCACCTATAAGCCCCAGATCTTGAATTTGCTGAACGTCAGTTTCTTCATTTGGAAGGTGGAAATAATATTATTGACTTGCCATAAGGATTGCTTGGCATTATTTATATGAAAGGGCCATCACTATGTAAAACACGACACAAATGTGAGCTGACATTTAACAAAATAATACTGCCTTTTAAATCAGCTGATACCTAAATACAGGTAGGTTATGATGAGTCTGTAGGGTTCATATTTGAGTCTTTCTGGAGAAAGAGGTTGGACCAGTATCTCTTTGGTTAATAGAGCCTCAGAATTTCAATATATGCCCTGATCTATGAATCTAGCGAAGGGACTAAACACAGGACTGCTCTCTTGTGTCTTTGTCTACTTTACAGATACTACACAAGGACCATTTATCAATTCCAGTTTCAAGAAGCCCTTTGTCGAATAGCTAAACATGAAGGTCCCCTGCACAAATGTGATATCTCAAATTCCATTGAAGCCGGGAAGAAGCTGCTGTAAGAAATACTGCAAAATGCTCCCCAATATTACTCACTTTCATGCCTATGTTTGAATTTGATTTCCTTGTTCTAAAAAGAAAATGTTTGGCCTCAAAATGTCCTCATCCACAAATTAAATGTTTCTTTTATGGTCACACAGGAACCTAGGCCTTGTGATGGTTGCACAGTCTACCTCCTCTCTCCACATCATACCTCCAGAGCCCCCTTTGTATTAATTGGAAGGAAAGACATCGAAGGATGAATACATCCGTTAACCCACCTTATTTTCTTACCAGCCAGGAGCAAACTTGGCCAAGCCAAAGAGGAGAAATGATAGATCATAGTGTAAATATGTGTACATCTGAAATCCCTCTAAAATCCCTGAGCCCACCCTCTTCTTTTTTCATGTAGCCAAATGCTGACCCTTGGAAAATCAAAGCCCTGGACCTTAGCATTGGAACATGTTGTAGGAGAAAAGAATATGAATGTAACACCACTGCTTAAGTACTTTGAGCCCTTGTTTACCTGGCTGAAAGAGCAGAACAGGAATTCTTTTGTGGGATGGAACACTGACTGGCGTCCATGTGAGTACATCGAGTTGACGCATTGCAAATGACTCCCTTTCTGCTTCCCCTAGTCTCCTCTGGCCCATCTCATGGGGCTACAACACAGCTGAGTATGTCTTCCCTCTGTGTAGACCCTGCTTCTGACCGTGCTGTGGTGGCAGCTGCCATTTTATTGGGGAGGAAACACATTTGTTGAGCACCTACTATGTATGTGGCATGATGAAAACTACACACGCCGCGCACACACACACACACACACACACACACACATTTTCTCTCTTTCTCTTTTTTTATACTATTCTTCCTTTCTGATCTTATATTCTAATAAATTTTGCCTCCTGCTCATTTTGTGTCCACTGTTCATTCTTCGAAGCGGCGAGACAATGATCCTGGGTATTGTAAAAAATCCTGCAGCAGCAAGATGGGCTAGGTCTTGGGAATAGTTTCTCCACTGGAAAGTCACTTCTCTCTCTTTCTCTTTCAAGTCTGCTTCATTAGCCCCATATTTAAAATAAAAGAGTATGACTGTCCCCAACCCACTGCAGTTGAATCCTGCTCTTAAAAGGCAAATATTTTTTAAATCAATTTTAATGTTATTATCTCTTCTTTCTGGCAGTTACTTTCATATTTCTGAACCTTTTATTATTTCTTCACTGGTCAGTTTTATTTTTTATTTTTTTTTATTAAATTTTTTTTTTTCTCAACGTTTATTTATTTTTGGGACAGAGAGAGACAGAGCATGAACGGGGGAGGGGCAGAGAGAGAGGGAGACACAGAATCGGAAACAGGCTCCAGGCTCTGAGCCATCAGCCCAGAGCCCGACGCAGGGCTTGAACTCACGGACCGCGAGATCGTGACCTGGCTGAAGTCGGACGCTTAACCAACTGCGCCACCCAGGCGCCCCTTCACTGGTCAGTTTTAGATGTGCCCTTCTGCCTGCTCTTCACCCCCCTTCCTCATTTTCCCAGTAAAAGTTTTAATAATGGTTTTACAAGAAACTCTCAGTATTTGTATCATAATGCCCGAAGAACCAACTAATACTCTATTTTAAATCCTGTCTTAGGTGACTTTTTGTTTGTCCTGGAGGTTCTACCGCCTTATTTGCTTCATGTCTAATTTGCCATCAATGTTGCATTTCTCTTTTCCAGGGAGTCCAACATGCCTGTTCTGTTCAGTCCCATTGGTTCCCTCAAGACTCTCCTCTCAGAGTCCTACGTTCTTCTCTCTCAGTCGGGACCACGGTTTCACCCCGAGTCATCCGTCTTTTCGCTGCTTTCGTGGGTTGAATCCACTGCTTCCTGGATTCCATGTCTTCTTTCTTGGATCTCCTCTTGTTGGGCTGCAGCAAGAGCTTCCAAGTGACTTTCTAAGCAAGAGCACATGGGATGGGACGATCTGCTGTGCCCCAACGTGGCTTTAACCGTGCCTCCGCTTCCATTGCCCTTGTTTTCAGTCTGATCTCTTGTTCCCACCCCTGAGCCTCTCTGGGATTCTCTGGGACTTTGTGGCTCTGTACTGCCTCTGCGTACACATTAGGCCCTGGCTTCCTGACCCTTGAGAAAGCACTTAACACTCCTCCATGACTTCTCATTTTCCAAAAGTGTATTTACACCTGTTAAAAAAATTCCCTTACTGTCACTTTAGTGGAATCTTGGGAGGGGAAGGAAATAAATGCACGTGGTCAATCTGTCATCTGTAACCAACTGTCTATGATTTCGCTTTAATCAGATGCTGACCAAAGCATTAAAGTGAGGATAAGCCTAAAATCAGCTCTTGGAGACGAAGCAGTGAGTATTCTGGACAGTGTGTCCATTACTTCTTAACGCACTCCTTTAAATGGGGCCAATAAGCCCCTTCCCTGTGGTCTAAAAGAAGACAGGCCACATGTTTCTCTTAAAAACTATAAGCTCCAGTTTCTGGATTTCAGCTCTCGGTGTTGTTTTTTGTTTTTGTTGTTGTTTTAGTAACACAGTCCTTATTGGATTGATCATGTCTACTTTTTCCTGGTTATTTTCAAGGTGTTATGAAGATCAATGAGAAAACATCCAATCTTAAATATCAAATGTCCACCCTCTTAATTCACTCTTATCACCATTACTTGTATTTGAGGAAGAGGACAAGGTTATATTTTAAGACATTGTTTTTAGAAGTAGTGTACATAGTTTTGCTTTGTTCTGTTTTAGTTAATCATCCATATTCTGGAAGCTTGTTAATAATGCAGAATCTGGGGCACCTGGGTGGCTCAGTTGGTTAAGCGTCCGACTCTTGATTTCAGTTCAGGTCATGATCTCACAGGTCAGGCCCTGTGCTGACAGTGTGGAGACTCCTTGGGGTTCTCTCTCTCTCTGCCCCTCCCTGCTCCCGCACTCTGTCTCTGTCTCCCTCTCCGTCTCCCTCTGCCACTCCCCTGCTCATGCGTGCACTCTCTCTTTTTCTCTCTCAAAATAAGTAAATAAACATTTTTTAAAAATGCAGAATCTTAGGCTCAAACCTTGGACCTTCTTAATCCAAATCTGCATTTTCACAAGCCCCCACATGGTTTGTATACATAAGACTGGGACGCTCTGATTTATAACACAGTTTCTCAAACCCGGCTGCACACTGGAGTCATACAGGATGTTCAAAAAATATTAAAGCTCGAGTCCCACTCCCAGAGACTCTGATTTAATGGTTCTGGGGCGTAGCATCAAGGGGTGGACATCAAGCATTTTAAAAGCCCCCGACGTGATTCTAATTACAGCCAAAGTTGAGAACAAGTGATGTAGAGCTGCATTTGGGGACAAGCGAGATGTTTGACGGAAAGCCAAATTACTTATGCCTGCGCGCAAATTCCTTTCAGCGGCTCTTGGTCGGCTGAGCACCTGTCTCAGAGCCAGTCTGAGGAAGCGGTGGCTTTGACTGGGAAAAAGGAGAGGAGAGGGTAGTCCCAGGCGGATGGGGAGCACGGGAGGCCGTGCAGGATGAGGGGATAGCCGGGGACTGCTGGATGGAGCAGTCCAGGGCGCTGTAGAAAACTGTGACTTGCATTGGACATATCTCATAGAGATTGCATTTCTACCCCCCTTCCTTTGCCTGACAAATTAAATACTACGCAAGGCTCCCCGGTAGTTGCAGGGTAATTTTCATGGATAAATAAGACATCTAAATACAAATAACACAGGAGTAAAAAATCAATCTTTAAGAAAGAATCAAAATAGAGGTGCACCACTTCCCAAACTTTAAATGTTCAAATTCCTATTCCTTAGCCATTGTTGACTATCAATGGGATTATTTCTCTGTCATCTTTTTAGTAGCTCTTCCTTGGCCTAATACATTTTAATTACTTATCTTTTTAATATGTTTGGTTTTTTAAAAAAATTTTGAGAGAAAGAGGGTGTAATTGAGCAAGGGGCAGGGGGGACAGAGGGAGAGAAGTGGGGCTCACCCGAAGCAGGGCTCCAGCTCACCCAAAGTGGGGCTCGAGATCACAAACCACAAGATCATGACCTAAGCCGAAGTCAGATGCTTAACCGACTGAGCCACCCAGGTGCCCTAATAACTTGAAAGGATCCAGGAAATCAGGATCCTTTTCAGTTACCGTATCTTCTTGGCATTTGTCCCCATGTTCTCTTTCCATGCAGTGAGGGATTGGTAAATGGTCTTCAGAGGGGTTGATGGTGTGACATTGTGAGGCCGGTTCACTGAGAACCAGGCTGCTTTGATGAACCCAGCCCCACACTTGAGCACACCTGCATATCAGAGCTGGAATATCAGCCCAGTTCAAGTGGTTGCAAGGACAAGTCCAACTGGATCCTTGGCATTGAGAACTCAGCCTTTGATTTTTTTTTTTAATATGGCAATAGTAACCAGAATATTAATTATTCTGTACCGCTATAATAATGTTGATAACATCATCATTACTTTCTTTTAATGGCTATTTATGTTTGAGGGAGAGACACACACAGTGAGAGCAGGGGAGGGGCAGAGAGAGAGGGAGACACACAATCTGAGG